AACCAAACTGGCAAGCGGGGAAACTTTTCCAGGCGGGACACTTGAAGAATTCGTTTTTTTACAACACCACATGTGAATGTTTGCCAAGACATGAGCGAGCCTGTTGGATTTTAATAAAGCAAACGCAGGGCAATGGAAGCCTTTCTGCTGAGAAATGATACGCCACTCCGGACCATTTAATTTTAAAATATGACTTTTAAAAAAAAAAACATTTTATAGTGGAACACTATGAACGTCCTCTATCATTATTTTTGAATGATTTGGGAGCATATCTAACAAAAATCTTCCCATGGGAGCAGACACCCTCTTAATATTTAAGAGCAGATTTAAAAACTTCATATTTGATCAAGCTTGTCATTTCAGTTCTTAAGTGTTCTGTCTTAGGCCTACAACGTTGTATTGTTCGCTCTCTATGGACTGGTTTCAAGTGGTGGGAATAAAGTATAAATCCATCGTTATGGTGTTAACGTTTAATATCCACATTAAAGTGGAGAAAAACTATTTATCAAGATCACAATATTTGCTCGAAAAAATGTCAGGGGTCTCCTAGTGGGGATGGCACAAATAAAAAAAAATGACGTACTCTTGCAATTAGATACGAAGCAAAAGCATTGAGGAAAAAATAAATAACTTGGCCATAATTATAATAATAATTCCATGCAGACCCAGACGAGGAAGAGCTTCCTACAACTAGAGTAAATGACTCAGTAAGCTGCAGTAATATTCGTTGCAGAGGAAAAAGACTACATGCCTGTTACATGTGTTGCTCCACCTTTGTGTTCGAACATCTGTTGCTTCAGGGTTACAGTGCTACGACGGTGATGCTATTAGCCTGTCTATGAAGTTTCCCATGATGTGTGAGCATTAAGCTATCAGAGTTGAAGGCAAAGTTGTTTTTTTTTTTTGAATGCACGTGTATTTCTCTTTGTTTTATGTTTAGTTTGACAGTCAACTTCAACTGCCTCTTTCAAATCGCTCCATTCTCTCCCTTCCTTTCCATTGCCGGGAGCGCTGGCATGACATCACAGTGCAGAGTTTCCACAGGGCCAAACAAATCCCATTCGGGGTTTTTACTACCTCGACCTTTCGCTCGTGAGGTTTTTTTTTGCGGGGGTGAACTCTCGCCACAGGTTGTCTTATCAGGAAAAGGAAAGGTGGGATTCGCTGTTTTTGCTGATTTTTGTCGGACTTGAACTTGATAATATTGATGTGACCTGGACATTTATCCTTCCACAGACGAGCAGACAAGCACAAATGAGCTCTCAATCAACTCTGACATGGCTTGACTTATTACTTTCCTGTTATATGGTCACTAATCAAACTTCACTGACAGACAAAAGCCAAAACTAAACACGAGAGTCAGCCCAAACCTCCACGGGGGCCAAAGCAAAATGTTAGCTTGCGAGCATAAGGTATTTTTAGATTACTGTCACGTAGCAATAAAAAAAATAGCAATGTGCTTGCTAAAAACACAGTTTTTCTTCTTTACGTCTGTGTGGATTCTTCGTCCTCCAGGTCATGTTTATCTGCAAAGAAAGAATTGAGCCGACTGGACTCTTCTACTCTAAACTTGTGCTACAATAGAAGAGAATAGAAGATAGGATAAATGTAACAGTGATTAAACACGAAGGGGGATACTGAATATCATAGAGACCAACTGAATGTAACAAAAATTAATATGTACTTGGGTTAATATAAAGGTGCCTTCAGCCAACGTACTAGTTCTCCAGACATCATTTATCGTTCGACTATCATTTTTTTCCTGCTTTAACTTGCGACACAAGCATTGTATGGTGGCCGTGAACTCAAAATACTTCACAACAAGCAGGAGTTAGGCAGATAGAATTGGTAAGCAATTCTTGAATAAAAATGCTTTGAGGCTAGATTGAATCCAATATTGTTTTTGTTGTTTTATAGTTTGAGGTATCTATGCTTCATTTCACAAAATACTCGTTTTCTGGGCTTTCTGGTCCTAAACCGGAGTTTTGGATGAAACCAACGCATGTTCTGGAGCTGATTACGAAGAAAATGAAAGAGTTAAAGACATTTGTTTGTTTTGTTTTTCTGGTGGTCTACTCTTTCTTTTGGTCGGTTCAGTGCTTACATTGTCGCAGAACATCAAATTCTGAAAGAAATATGCTCTAAATCGGCTGCTAATATGGGGAACTCTGTTTTGAAAATGGCCGGTAGTGAATTAAAGAAATGTGTAAATACTATAAAAAAATAAATAAATAAAAAATAAGTCAATAACCTTTGCTCAGTGTTTCTTAAAACCCTTCTGAATATTTTTGGGTTTTAAAAAGCCATTGCTTCAGCCTAAACCCTTTTGTTTTCTCCTTGAACATAGTATTTTTTGTGTGTGTTTTGGTTGGATTGTTTGGGGAAAAATATAAAAATAGAAGGAAACAAAAAACCCTTTTCAATCTTTTTAACTCAACTAAAATTTGACAGTTTGGTTATTTATTTCTATGGCCACGACAGAGGAGCAGTTGAATGTAAGAGGATAATAATTTGCTCATAATAGTAGCTCTCCTCCTGAGCAAATTGACCAAAATCCCCCCGCCCCCCACACTTTTGAAATGACGGCTACGCCCTATGTGTCTCTGAGCACTTTTTAAGTGCCATTAGTCTCGTAGGTGCTGGCAGGTGCTTGAAAGCCTCACCAAAGACTCATGGTGGCTGACATAGGGCCACCCTTTTACGTGAGAGCAGCCGTCACGCTTTTAATGACACGACACGCTGCTCTGACGCGTTTTGAAGCGGCGGCCAATCGATGGAGAAAAAAAAAAGTCGGCGGTGGGTGAATTGACATTTAATTGTGCTGGGGCCCCTGACTGCACACAAAAAGCCTGGCTTGTGATATATGGCATCCTAAAAGCTCTCAGTGCTATTAACAGCTGGCAGGCTCTGACCACGGAATCACACCAAGGCCTCACGAGCCAGACGGGAAGCTGGAAAGCGTCTGTATGAATGGATTGGAGGTGGAGGGGACAGGGGTTGGGAGGGACAAAATGGGCGGTTTTGTGATAGACATGAAACGCGATGAACAGTTTATATGACCAACAGGGAGAGGAAAATTATAATGGTTGTCAGTATTATCACCATATTGATGAAGTAAATACGGTAAATATAACGGAAGGGAGGCATCAAAATATTAGGTGCTCTTGCAAACCACAATGCAGAAAATATTACAAACAATACTACTTTCAAATTAATCCAATGAGCAATATTGATTTGAGATTAGTTGTGTGACTTCAAATAGTCTGGTATTCGCCCTCCCGCAGCTCCCAGAATTTTTTTTTTTTTTGAGACAAAATTTAAAAAATGTCTGACAGCGATAAGTATGTTTCTGTGCTTCGTGATGGAACAAGCTATGAGCAGTTTTCTGGGGGAGCCTAAACTTTTTACAAATTTAACCAGCGACTACGAATAAGTGAAAGATGCTTAGATAATGAGGTTTTAAAAAAAAAAAAAGCTACTTCCTTGTGGAAATTACGTTCTGGTTGGTCAGCTCGTAGTCATGAATACACACTCCTGTGTTCCTACCTTCACGCTTCGCCAGCTCCACTTTGCAGTAATTGTATAAAACTTTTGATTATGAATCACTTCCTCCTCGTTTCCTTTTCCATCGAGAAAACACCTACGGTTGTGATGTAAAATACAGTAGTCGTGATAATTGTAATATATTATCTTTCTATTTCTATTTACTATATATTTGTTTCATGTCAAGAAGTGTAATTTCTTCACGCACACCTGAGCCCCACAGATGTTGTGGCCAGGACAATAAAAGCAGCGACTCTCACGTGCAAATCCCATCAGCCAGTTCTAGTTAGCGGCAGACGCCACTAATTGTTTCCAGAAGCATCACTCTGCGCTCAGTAAGCAGTGCGAGGACAAAGACCAAAGGCGGGGGAAGAAAGGGGATGGGGGGGACACCAATAATGAGAGGTCAGCTGCCATGTCCAGTCCACAGCCAGAAAGGCACTCCAATTTTAGGGCCAATTGGAGCACGCATTTGGACCGAAAGATCATAACACCGGTGGCCGGACTTTGCGCATTAGACAGACCACACAAACACACGGGACCGCGTTGGGCCAATCAACATGGCAGCACACATTTACCCCAAAAGTTATTTCATTGTTCAAGATCATTGTCATACTTGTCTTTGGAGTTTATCCTTACATAGAGCAGCACAGAATGCAGCATGCAAGTTCATGTGCTGAGCACAGATGCTGCTGTCACGCGAATGCGAAATGTTGAGCCAACTCTTGATCGCAAAACATGTTATACAAAGTATTAGACACAAATGTCCATCAAGCATATAAATAAAGTTTGAGATTTTTATTTGTGTAAATTATTTTTGTCATTTGAATCTAATACTTTTAATTGTGGTGCGGCACAGTGTAGATTGGTTAGCACCTTCGCCTCACAGAAACAGAGGTCGTAGGTTTGAATTGGGGCCTAGTTTTCCTGTGTAGAGTTCTCCCAGTGTTTTACCCGTGCCGACATAGGTTTTCTCCGAGTACTACGGTTTCTTCTCACATTCCAAAAATATGCAGGGTAGGTTGATTGAACGCTCTAGATTTTCCCTTTGTGTGATTGTGAGCGTGAACGGTTGTTTGTCTATATGTGCCAGGCGATTAGCTGGCAACGAGTTCAGGGTGTCCCCCGCCTACTGCCCGAGGTCGACTGGAATAGGCTCAAGCACTCACGACCCTCGTGAGGATAAGCAGTTCAGATAATGGATGGATAGATATTTGTCCAATGTTTGTGTTTTTCATGGAATATTTATGACTTTGTCTGTCTTATATTTTGTGCTGCACTATTTTTGGATTGGTTTTTGGCAGCCGCCACATTTCCAGCAAGCTCAGGCGTGTTCAGTCCAACTATTGTCAGATTATTAACGTTTACTTCTTTGTATGTATTGCCAGTAACAGGCTCAATGATATGCTAAATGTACTATCTGTTGTCTGAAATGCAAAAAAGTAAATGTGCCTTACCTGAGTGGGCACAGTCAGAGCTGAGTTGGGAGGCGTCAGGTGGCTGTAATGCAGCAACATCAACATGCACATGCAGCGTAGCATCTCCAAAATGGACGCCAATGGCCTGGACACAACACATCCATATATATGAGGGGTTTTCTTGCCTATGTAATTTTACAAGTAACAATTCACATGAGAACATCCATCCATCGATCCCAGCTGTCTTCGGGCAGTCGGCGAGGTACACCCTGAACTGTTTGCTAGTCAGCACACACAGATGAACAACCATTCACACTCGCATTCACACCTAGGGACAATTTGGAATGTTTCATTAACCTGCCATGCATGTTTTTGGAAACCGGAGTACCCGGAGAACACCCACGCAAACTCCACACCGGAAGAGAAGGCTGGAGCCGGAATCGAACCGTGCACCTCTGCACTGTGATGTGGACGTGCTAACCAGTCGACTACCGTGCCGCCCGTATGAGAACATTTTATAATAATAACAATTACAATTCAATTTATGTCAAACATGGTTCCTGTATTGATTATAAAATATGATGAAAGAAAAAGAATACAGGACATAATAATAAATTACACACAAAGCGTTTGTTTGGGAAAGAAGGGGCTGCCGCATACTGCACATGGTCAAAGTAGTACCACCTACATCGAAATCTGAATCAGGGAAACCTCTGTATAATATCATCTAAATACTGCATGGCATAAAAAAAAGTTAGTGTGTCGGGTACCTGCAGTCAATGATGAAGCCCAGGGAGGTAAGAGTGAGCAGGACATAGCCGGTCATCCCCAGGACGGTCAACTGGGTCAGTGTCTAGGGTACAAATACAGCACATGGCGTGACTCCCAACGGAAAGCTGTAATCAGCATCATGGGTGCTTGGCTGACAGTGTCTCAGTAGAGCTTTCCACAAAGCACCAAGCTGTACCACTGTTTACTCGGCAGTGCCAAGGCAAACAAGCCTGTGTGCGAGCACATGGCGGGTACACAGCAGCACATTAACAGCAACGTCTTACTGTACACCCGGGCTGCAGAACATCTAATGGGCTTAGAAAGGATTTTGCCACAGACACTCACCCCTTTCACCCATTCACCCATTCACTCAGCCATCCAGTCACTCGTCGCTGTCACTCAAATACTCACGCACTCAGTCAGTAGCTTACGTTGTCACTCACTCAGTCACGAAGTCACACAGTCATTCAGTGGGCCGGTCGGTTGGGCAGCCGCTCACTGTGTCACTTTGTTGGCAAGTCAGTCAGTCACTTACTCTCAGCCCGTTAGTTGGTCAATCACCCACACCCACATTCAGACACTGGGTCAGTCAGTCAGTCAATCACTCAGTGAGTGACTTACTCAGTGGGTCACTCACTTATTCAAACACTCACTTGCTCACTCAGTCAGCCGATCAATCAGTTCGTCACACAGTCAGTCGTGATTCGCTCTGTCAGTAAATCAGTCACTTATTCACTCACTTGATGAGTCGGTCCATCACTCAGGCATTCGGTCATTCATTCTCTGGTTCAGTTAGTCATTCCTTCAATCATTCAGTCACCTACTCCCCAAGTGCACCTAAATGTGTCTAAGGCAGAAGGACATTTATTTATGTATTTCATTGGGGCAGTGCACATTAATCAACATATAGACTGAAGACGCAAGTGTTAGGACAGCTGTCGATTAACATGCACAAGAGGTTTTTACAAGTACAAAATAGTAAAGTGTGTTGTCTATGAATGACGATCAGCTTCAGTTCACCAACAATTGCGTGACAGCAACACCAATGTTAGCAGTAGCGTTTGGTAAGCTAGCTGGCTAGCCAGCTAGCCGGCTCACATGCATACAGTACATAAACACAAAAGGGTGACATGATTTATTGTGGGAGCCGGCGAAGCTCACGCTGTTATTTTCCTTTGCAGAAATCCTGATTGCTGCATCCTGAAGGCTATTTTGCTTGGGAAAGGCTCCAGTCCACAATTAAGGGGTTTGTGTTCACTGCCGGACCACCAGCTGGTGTTTCATTTTCAGGCGAGTATGGGGAGCCCTCTCGGCCCTGGAGGTGTGTGTGTGAGTGTGTGTGTGTGTGTATGTGACCACAACTGAGGAGTTTAAAAAAAAAAATAGAGGGGCAATTTTATTTGGGAGTTGTGAAGGAGTTTGGGCGTGACGGCACTTCTCGGCTAACCAAAACTATGCCTGAGGGGGGAAAAAAAAGGCTTCCAAAGATAACTGCCAAGGAGACCCGATGCTTTATTTTTCTGATGGAGGAGGAAGGGAAGGGGGTCTTTTGGCTTGGGCAAGTGGAAAATAATAGACAAAGGTTCCTCCAAAGGGGAAAGCCGATCAGTCATCCTGTCATGATGTTAGACACAGCTCGTTTTTCTTTTTGTTTTTTAAGTAAAAGTTACCGGGCTCCGGCGGCCGCAACAAACTGTGTCATTAGTTCAATCATGTTGGCCCAGACAAGTAGTCTTCAATTAGGGAGCTCAAGACCTTCTTGTCAGATGTCCGCAGGGACTAAACATCTTAGGCCATGTCAACACTCGCTGTCACAGTTAAAAAAAAAAAAAAAATGACACTAAAAATACATTTTAGCTGAATTAACAATAAAGTAAAATAACCATGACTATCTCAAAGTCAAAATGGGTAAAAACTTTTTCATCTTTTGTATGCTCATCAGCAAGCTCTGAATAAGCATGATAACGATCCTGATCATTTGGCTCACGTGCGTTGCGGCAGAGAGAGATGGAAAACAGGCAGGACAGCAGCCCTTTGAGGACACCCCTGCCTTCGACGTTCGTCATGATAGTGAAATCAAAAATGTATCTTCACCTCATCGTATTTCATATACATAATTGCTCATGCATTTCTCATGCTCATGCCCTTGAACAACAAATCAAGTTTTAAGCCAAAGATGTGAAAAATGGTGACAAGCAAATAATATAATATGATCCATTCTATGTTAAGAAAGGAAAGGTGTAGAATTGTATTTATTTATTTGGCATTGATTTTCTGCCAAAAATGAAAAGGAAAAACAAATAATTTAGCAAGGAACATGAAGGTGACACACTTTATTTGCTTTAGTGGGCCGTGAAAAATGATGACGCCCGTATGCTAAGGAATTTAGGCGTCATGAAATGAGACAAAAGGAGGCTGGAGATTTGGCTAAAACAACATGGTTGGCGTTGTACCGAGACTTTTTTTGTCATGTCTTTCCTGTAATTCCCATGTGACTTAATGTGACAAATACGTACCGCCTGGTTTTCGAAGAGCTCGTGGTACGTGTGCAGCACCAGCAGGAAATGTGTCACCACGTAAACTTGTACCGGCAGCGAGCAGCTGGGATCGTGAGGCTTCTCCTCACCGGTCAGCTGCCAGTGGAAAAGAAAGAACTTTTCTTTTTTTCAAAATTTTCAAAATTAAGAGACCTGAAACCACTTACTCGCAAGGCACAACCACTCGGTGAAAATCATTAGTAGAACAAAATCTCTGGGATGAGCTTGCCTTTAAAGGGCTCCTGGAAAGGGACAAAGTGATCCAAAAATTCACCTCTTCAAACCAAAACGGCAGATTTTCTATCTTTTTGGGAACGGCTTTGAGACTTTTTTTTGTTTGTCTAATCATGATGAATTTCAAAAGATAGTTATTGGAGATGTATTTGTCAAACTTTGTCAACATGCTCCACTCGCAATCAACAAAACAAAAAATTTGGGGAGTTTATTGTAATCCATCTCGCTAATATATGTTGTTCAAATTTGGTTGCAGACAAACTCTCTAGGATAAGATCATCTTTAAAGAACCTGTGGAAATGGCCAAAAGGTCTCTTAAACGACCGTTTCAAAACAAAATGGTAGTCTTTGTGTCTCTTTTCCGACATGACGTCTTGATACCCCCACATGCAATTTTTTTCCAATTACTTCTCTATCCCATGTTGCACAAAATGGTGAGAGTCGTCCATGAGGAGAAAGGGGTGTCAAAATATTCAATAAATAAGTAAAATGAATTATTTATTTATTATTTAATTTGCTGAAAATTAAATAATAAATTTAATTTTCAAAATGGGAGCAGTGTGGGAGTGGGAGTCATTTTCAACAGGAGCGGGAGCAGACAAGATTTCTTTTTTGTTTTTTTTAATAAACTATGGTCCAGGACTGGGGTGGGATGGGATCTTTTTTTCACCCTCTATTTTGTGGTTGTGTTTGGCATTTTGTTGCCACATCTTGATGCCAAGGAACTATGATGAAGTGAACTGACATTGTAAATACAGTTTTTTGGTTTTTGCACAAATAGGATACCGGAATTTCTTTTTTTTTTCTTCAAAGGTTCCACTGGGATGAAAATGAGCTCATTAGGTCATCTGGATTATTATATTTTTTACTGGAAGACGTGAGTCCATCCTTTGGAATTTGCTCAGTCATTTGACCCCTTTCTGTCATTTGGAAAGAAAAAAGTGGATGAAAATAAATTGACCAATCACAGACAACGAGGGTTTCTCAGAGAAGACAGGCATCTCGCTGGCCCTCCTCCTCAACGCACCTGCAGGTACGTCGGGGTCGTGGTTCACCTGGTGCACCATCGTGAACCATGAGATTACTGCCATGGCGTTTGGCTTCCAAGGTTGCCTTCAAGGGGTCAATTTGAATCGTGAACATTTTTTTCCAAGTGTCACGCATGAGGGAACTAAATATGTGCCACCATCAACGTTATTTCAAAGCTAACCGCCAGCTCGTTCCACTGGAGCCTTTCTGCCGACACGCACACACACACACACACACACACACACACACACACACACACACACACACACACACACACACACACACACATGCACATTTCCACTGGGGTTCTGACATGCGGTTTTAATTCCAGAGACGGTGAAAATGAACTTATTGTGTGCCGTCTACAAAGGCTTTCCAGCTTTTATTTGATGTGGCCATTCCTTGCAAAAGTCGCCTAAAGCTCCCGCTGAGAGGAATGCTCCTTTTGAATGATGTGAGGTCACGAGGCGGTCGCGCGCCCACCTTTGGAACGTGATTGTAGTTGCCCAGCCAAGGGTTTCCAGGCGTCCAACTGGGACCTTTGACAAAAGTTGACACTTTGTCAGCGAGACTTGAGTAGGTGGTTGACCTTCTCCACAAGGACAAATAGTAGTGGAACTGAAAAAAAAGACAAAACACCAAATAACACTAACAACACTAATAGGAAAAAAAAACGTCAATGAGATGTTCGGTCTCACTCTAACCACACCTATGTTGAGTTTGTGTTTTATGGCGAGTCATCAAACTTTGCCCACACGTGATGAGGAATTATGATAAAATTTATCGCTGCTCATCTGTCGAGGAGATCTAGTTTAAATTTGGTTACAACTGGACAAAATTCAAGGACAATTTTCTTTTTGAATCACATTAAGACCATGATTTCTTAAGGTTTTATTGTAGGTCAATTCATACTAGACATGACTACCAAATGACATGTTAAATCAAACTGACTTTGTGGGCTAATTGTGCTTTCTATATTTCCTCAAGGTACTACCAGGGCAATTTGGATTTGAAACACTGAAAATAACCACAAAATGGCCGCTTCAAACAGAAATGGTAGCCTTCCTGTATGTTTTCGGGTATGACTTCTTCAGGCTTGTTTTTTTTAGGTCTATTCTAGTCATGATAGACATGCCAACCAAATGACAATGATAAGTGAAACAGAAAGGGCTATCTGGCTAAATTAGAAAAAGACCCCTGGAAATGAGCCTAAAATGGCCATTTCAAACCAAAATGGGAGACTTCCTGTGTCTTTTCCAGGATAGCTTCTTGTCAAATTTCATGTTGTGAAGTGGAACTGACTCAGGCCTGAATTTTCACAAAATTCCTCATGACATTATCACTCAGTTGAGTTCAGTTTATGCAATCAGTAGTGGTCAATTATGTCATTAAAAAATAAGTTATGGTTAACTACACAACAAACCAAGCTCTCTGATATATAACCATACTGGGATGGCTGACAACAGCTTCATCCAGAATCTACTTTTTAAAATGGCCTTCTTCACCACAATATGGTTGTTTGTTTGGACTAGGAGTAGCATGTTATGCTTATAAAATGGCCACTTACTGCACCTAATTACCGACTGGATTTTTATTGGATGCTGGCGAGCGTGAATGCACATGTGCTAGCAAGTATGCTTGCAGAAGTTCTAGTGAGTATGCTAGAGAATTTGTGAGCATGCATAGTACTCACCTGATTTGTGATGATTTCAAATGAGTTGCTGGGGTAGACTAAGCCATAAACCACCTTGTCCTTCTCTGGTGAGAAGGTACCTTAAAACGAAAAGCAATAATAGGCGGCATTAGCATTTCTTGACTTTCATACTAAAGCTAAAAACAAAATGCATCAGCAACCTCAACATTTGCACCTCACAGTTGATGTACAGTATATACCAAAAAATAAATGCTACCATTAGCAATGTTAACCACTGCATGATGTTAACATGGGCCTTTATTCAGTTTCGCACTGTGTTTCTAATGTTAATAACAAAAAGGCAACAATTAGCTGTTTTAGTCACTACAGCTTTAGCACAGACCTGAACTCCAGCCTGCTTTTACGTTTGAACTGTTTAGTCTCTGCTAACATGACACCAAAACACAACACTTAGCAGTGTTAGCCGCGAAATCATTAGCACGGGCCTTCAATGTGTTTGCATACCAAACAATCGGTCCCAGATGATCAGAATTCCCCCAAAGTTTTTGTCAATGCAGTATAGGTTTCTTCCTGTTAGAAAGGTGAAGGAAAGGTTAGGAACACATTTGCAATAATGCAAACCAAAATCCCATGACCAAATAAACAGATCTTCACCATGGTGAACTCTGTGATGCTTGGGAGTGTTGAAGATCCACTCCAGTGGCCCCATGTCTCGGATTACCTGAAATAAAAGTAAAGTTTAAGTACGGTTCTGCATTTTAGGAGTCCTCAACACAACTCATACCCAGTTCCGACTCCTGAACATAAATAAATTAAATAAATAAATAAATAACAAGGCGCAGACTCCAGTTCCAACAATAAAAGCAAAATTGGGTGGATGTGTCTATCATCTATCCATCCATTATCTGAGCAGCTTTATCCTCACGAGGGTCACGGATATGCTGGAGCTTATCCCAGCTGACATTGGACAATCGGCAGGATAACCCCCAAAATGTTTGTCAGCCAATCACAGGGGGCACATTGACAAACAACCATTCACAATGACAATTACAATTACACTTAGGGACAATTTAGACTAGAGTGTTCAATTAACCTACCATGCATGTTTTTTGGAATGCTGCCAGCTCCCAACACAAGCCCTTAAAATGCTTACCTGGACAAAATAAAAAATTTCAAGTAATTTTTTTTATTTCCATGTAAAAGCGTGTCTAGCTGTTTCACACTCAATGAAAAAAACTTTTCCTTCACAACTGCATTTTGGCTGCATAACACTAAGAGAAAAAAAAAGGCCCATAAAGGAGGCATTAATTACACACCTAGAGAAAATAGCGTCTGTTATGAGAACTTTGGCTTATTTCCACTAAAAAGTTGGAAAGGGGGTGTTGCAAATCCATTAAAGGATAGTAAAAAATAAAAATAAAAAAGAAAGAAAAAAAGTGATACTTGCCGTGGCTTTGCTTCTGTTTGAAATATTTAACAACACTCATTCATCTTTATTGAGCGGATAGCCAAGAGCAGACAGGGATGGACAAATAAAATAAGAAATGCTATTTTGTCATGGTGACGTTAATGCTTACCTCTGTGTGCAACCAGAACTGGAAGAGCAGAATGAGTTGGATGTGGACAGCAAAGGCGGACGGTGGCACGGCCAAGGCCATGGGCACGTAGAAAATCTGAACATGATCGGAAATATGATTCACAATGTTTTATTTATGAGTGTTGGAGAAGTGCACGGGAGTAGGAACGTACCCACGAAGTCAGCTGCTGGGTGAGCGGCTGCCGTAGAGCCGTGCTGAAGTTGTAGTACTCTGAACTGTGGTGCACCTGGTGGGCTGCCCAAAGGATGGCTACCTCTACACAAACATCACACACAGAACATATTTATAGGGGACGTATGACTTTTCCTTGTTCTCCAAATTGAGTAAAACTAGAGCTGGCCGATATGACGATATATTATTGCAAAAACGATAGGGAAGTGTCTATCGTGTCACTTTTGTACTCTAGTGACTATTGTCATTTTTTTACCTGCAGTTAAATACAAGCAGTAAGAATGAAAGCAATTCAGAAATTTGATGCATATAGTACACTGTACTGAATACACATAACATTAGTAATGTGATTTGTTTTCACAATACAGCCCTGAGATTTGATTTTGGCTTTTGAGATCTGGCACAATAAAGGTTTTCAAAATTACTTTACAATAGAGCTCATGTTTTTATTTTACTTTTATTTTTTTTTAAATCAATTTCTGTCAGAAGCATTATTTGTATGGAAAAATCATCCACCGCAATAAACTGGGATTCACATTAACAGTCATTGGAGTGCATCTTCAGCTGTCGTTCACTTTTCCTCTGCATTCAAACTGCATTCTACGTACATTAGCAAACACTCTTAGATCACAGATAACTTCAACGGTGTACCACACTTCGGCTTATTGTCTCCATTTATACAAAAAAAAAATATCAGGTCCATTGTCCACTTCATCTTGCTAAATTGAAAAATTCCGTTTTTTTTTTTTTTTTTTTAATCCGAGGCCGGCACTACATCATCCCAGCACTGGCTATCATTCTTCTACTGTTTGGTGACACCCGTATCGGTGTTACATTTCCTTTTAAAGTGCAAAGGGAAGAAGCCAGTTAAATTTTACTGGTTAGTGGAGAGATTTCCAGTCCAGTGCATGGACCAGGGAGCACTTTTGGCACTTTAATTCTTCCAAAAAACCTTTCTTAAAGCAAAATTAAGTTGCGGTTTTGCACAGAAGTGGTGATTTGTGGTTTGATTGCACAACTGAGCCCACTTAAAAAAGGTCTTACTAGGTCATTTTTAGCTCATCTCAAGATTCTACTCAGGTACAATAAAGTGATTTATGTCATTTATGATTTTGTGTGCTCAATCACATCCGACCAACAAATGTGAACTGTATTGAGGCCAATAGTCATGAAGCCAATGGGTCGGGGATCACCCGCACCTGAACAAACACATTGTTGAGAAGTGCGAGTGCGTTCCAAGGTCCAATCAGAAAAACTACTTCAGGGGAGGAGGGGGGGAACCCAGAAGGATTCTCGGCGAAAAGTAGGATATTGGCCTTATTGCTCCAGCTCGGCAGGTGTGAGAGAATGGAGGTCCCAGGGAGTGTCGAGGAGAATTGACACGCTGCAAGTACAAATGACGGCTCTGGGATTAGAACGAAACAAGAAAGAGCAGAGCTGGGATGTGAAAAGATTTGGAGGATTCCCAAGTGGGAATAAGGGCTGAAAGTGCTTCCCTCTAGAAAAGACAGCTGTGGACAAGGTGGAGTCCAGGCACTGTTTGGATCACAAAACGGATTTTTTTTTCCTCCTTTATATTGCACATGTGCGCAGTACGGTGTGATCATCAGTCACATTTGGGCCATAAAAAGAAAGGAAGAACAACACTAAAGATGTCAATGGTATGTTTTTATCATGTAAGAAAATTAACAATGATTGCAGTATTTTTTTGTTCCACTTTGCGTTGACCACAAAGGAAGAACATACGATCACACAGTCATCGTTAAATTAATATTTTCAAACCATAAATTTAATATTCATTATTCTATTTTAAAAAATGTTTTGGACAGTATTTTGAGATTTTTAAATACGGGTTTTTTTCGACAGCAATGTATTTTTTCAAGATATACCTATCCGTTAAATAACTCTGCTGCTTTATCATTTTTTTGTTAATATTATGCAACTTTGTTTTTTTGTGATTAATTCATTCCAAAGAACCAAACTGTACGAAAACCAAAGCAATATTTACCAAAAGAAATAAGGTACATTCAATTAATCCACTCTATACACCCCAAAATATGAACAAAAATGGGTTTTTTTTTCGATAAGGACTATAGTTTAAAATACAGAAAATAATTAGAA